ATAGAATAATAAGTACATAGTGATTGTTTTTAAAAGTATGAATGGATGTGAAAATAATATCCTAACCTCCACATAAAACTATTAGTCCTCGTGGTGGTGAATGCCTGTAATCTTTGGAACTAGCTTTTGTAGACCAGGCTAGTCTCGAACTCACAGAGATCCATCTGCCTCTGCCTCCCAAGTGCTGGGACTAAAGGTGTGCGCTACACCACCTGGCTGAATGCCTGCAATCTTAACACATTAAGTGGCTAAAGCTGGAGGATCTCCAATTCAAAGCAAGTATAGGGAGACTTGCCTTTAAAAAAAAGTCTGCCTGTCTGTCTAGCATATTATTTTTTAGCCAGCCTTTCTTCTAAATCATGTATCATTAATATTCCCATCATGTCATTATTTACATCTATGTGTCAGTAATGGTAACTTTTATGGGTATATATACTAATTTTTTCTATATGTTATCTAATCAGTCTTATAGGTGGTAGTTTAGATTTTTTACAGTTTTTTTTATTATGAAAGAAACTTTGATAAGTATCTTAGTACATACTACATAGATTTTGGGTACTAGTTCAGTGCTGCCTTTTGTATAAATTCCTAGATGTAAAATAGGTAAAGCAAGTAGCCTATGAATATTATAGAAAAATTTGAGGACTGGAGAGATGGCTAAGTGGATAAGTCCTCTGCTTTTCCAGAGGACCTGGGTTTGATTCCTAGCACCCATGTGAAAGTTCACAATTGTTGCTGGATTTTCTTTGTCCTGCCAGGTCTGGCAGCTACCTCAACCCAAAATAAAGCACACAGACACTATGATAATTATAAAACTGTTGGCCAAATGGCTAGGGCTTCTTACTGGCTAGCTCTCTCTTAATTATTAACCCATTTCTATAAATCTATGTGGTCTTATCTTACCGGAGAAGGGTCCCTGGACCCCTTACTCCTTTGGCAGCTATATGTTGTCTCTTTTGGCGGTTTTCTCTGCCTATCTTTCCCAGAATTCTCCTTGTCTCCTAGTCCTGCCTATCTCCCTGCCTCTGTTGGCCACAGTGTTTTATTCATCAACCAATAAGAGAAACATATATAAAGAAGGACACCCCCCATCACACAATAGTCTGTAATTTCAGTCTCATGGGATCCAACTCCCACTTTTGGCCTTCCCAAGCACTGCATGTACATGGTGGACAGGCAAAATGCCCATACACATAAAATAAAAATGAAAAAAAATGAGTAAAAAAATCTATAAATGTATAGATTTGGAATTCTATAGAATTATAGTAGACTTAGAGTGATAAGTCATTAAGAAGTCATAGTTAGGGCTGGTGTGATAGCACACACCTTTAATTCCAGCATTTAAAGGCTTTATTGGAGTCAGGTGTGGGTGACTTCATCCCAGCACTTGGGAGGCAAATGCAGGCAGATCTCTGAGTTTGAGGCCAACCTGATCTACAAAGTGAGTTCCAAGACAGTCAGGACTATTACATAGAGAAACCCTGTCTTAAGCAAGCAAGAAAGGAAGGAAGGAGAGAAAGAAATAGAGAGAAGAAAGGAAGAAAGGAAGGAAGGAAAGAAAGAAAGAAAAAGAGAGAAAGGTAAATAAACTGACAGAACTGTTTTGTCCATTAGTTACTGTAGAATTTTGTTAGTTACTTAATCAAGAAACAAAATTTTGGTTTTTGTCAGATTGAATTAAAAGCACGAGGAGAAAATGTTGTGGGGGGGGGAATGTGACAAATTATGAAAAGAATGGATTTTAGAGACAAGATTCTGGTTCTTTTTTCTTTTTTTCAAGACAGAGTTTCTCTGTGCAGCCCTGGCTGTCCCAGAACTTGCTTTGTAGACCAGGCTGGCCTCAAACTCAGAGATTACCTCAGCTTTAAGTGCTGGAATTAAAGATGTGTGTCACCACACCGGATCTAACTGTGACTTCTTAATGACTTATCACTAGAGAGTCAATTGTAACAAAGGTGCAGGGCATTAACATTCCAAGGTAGACTTTGAATATGTTGACAGATGTCGTATGGGAAATCTCTAAAGTTCCATCAGTTTTGTTATGAGCCTAAAACGGATTTAAAAAATAAAGTCTACTAAAAGAGCTAAACTTTGGACTCTATTCCTTACTTGAGCAAATAGGATAATAAAAAGATTAAGAATAAGAAGGAAATGGCCTTTCTCTCTTCCTGTTCTTTAATACATTTTATCATAGAAAATTTAGGATAAATATAAACTCCCACATACCTACCACCCAAACCTATATAAACTTCAACCTATGTTTAATTATATCCTTTCTAATTTTCCTGCCTCTGTATTTTTACAAATTTTATTTATTTATTTGCATATGGAGCTGGGATTATAGGCAGTTGTGGGTCCTGAACTGGAATCCTCTTCAAGAGCAGTCTGTCTTTCTTAATAGCTTACTTAGCCATCTCTCCAGCCCATGTTTTTGCTAGTTTTTTTTTTCTCGTATTTACTTGTTTGTTTTCATATGTGTGGATATTTTGCCTTCATGTGGGTGCACCAAGTGTGTGCCAGAGCCTTCAGAGGCCAGAAGAGGGCGTCAGATCCCCTGGAACAGGAGTTGCAGAGGTGCAGAGGCTAGTGAACTGCCATATGGGTGCTGGGAAACCAAACCTGGTTCCCCTGGAAGAGCAGCTACCTCTTAACCATTGAGCCACCTCTCCAACTTTTTTCTGCTAGTATTTTCAGAACCACTGCCCTGTTTGCCAGAGCAACTGTACTGTGCCATTTTATATTTTTACCTGCAGAGAACAGTTGGGATTTGAGATACTATTGTGTGTGGTGATAGATTGCCTGAAGTATCAGAATGCAAAGCCAGCCACAGTAGTTAGCTATAGGCACTAGGTGGCGGTGGTACACACCTTTAATCCAAGGACTCAGGAGACAGAGGTAGACTTATCTCTGTTAGTTCAAGGCCACACTGAGCTACATGAAATTGATCCAGTCCAAAAGACACAGCTAGGGAACATGCTGAATAACTATGTATCCCATTGCTCTGATGGAAAAACTGTTTTCTGAAATAGGACATAGGTGCCTTTATACAATCTAATGACGGTGGGCAATGAGACCCATTACTTAGTCACACTGCTAATAGTGTTCTTTACTGGGCTTTGATTGAAAGCTTTGCTACACTGTAAAACTTCTCAATGGAGATCTCAGCACTTGGGATCCCATGCCTTTAATTTAGGATTTGAGAGGTATAAATGGAAGAAGCAAAGGGTCTCATGAGAGAATTTGTCTCCAGCCACGTTGAGGAGAGGCAATAGTCTGGGATTGCAGCTTAGTGGAGACAGGATTTCCATTTCAGCCTGAAGTAGAAATAAGAGCTAGTGGCCAGCTGCTTTGCTTTTCTAATCTTCATCTTGAACCCCAATATCAGTCTCTTGAGTTTTTGTTTTCCATGTTACAACTGTGTGTCAGCAAATTGTGTTTCCCTAGCAATTTACCTGTTTCATCACTCTGTCAGATTTGTTGTCATAGTTATAGTATCTTCTAGTGATTCCTTAAAAAAAATCTGGCATTGATCTTTTTCTTCACTTAAAATAAAATCAGTGTTGCTTGGAACTTTCAATAAGTCAGTGAAATGATTCAGTGAGTCAAAGTGCTTGATGACAAGCCAGAAGTGCTCAGTGCAATCCCTGGGACCACATAGTGGAGAAGACAGCTGACTCCTTCCAAGTTGTCCACTGACTTCACATGCTTGTCCTTACACTTTCTCACATGCTATATAAATTAATACATACTAAATAAATACAGTAAATTTAAAAAGAAACTGTCGGTTGATTTTTCAGATGACTCATTTTTTTTTCATTTTGTTATCTGATCACTATTATTATAGATCAATTTCCCACCTTTTTCTGTCATTTTGTTTTGTTGTTTTGTTTTTTTGAGACAAGTTCTTATGTAAACCAAGCTAGCTAGCTTCCTAATTCACTGTGTACTCCAAGCTGATCATGAACTACTACTTCTGTTTCTACTTCCTAAGTGTTGGAATTTCAGTCATACTCCACCCAGCTACCCTACATTTTAGTGTGTATGTTATGTTGATGTGTATATGTGCATATGTGCAAGTTAAGTGTGTGGAGGCCAATAGTTGATGTCAGAAAGTTTTTTTCTCAGTCTCTTCTCTACCTTATTAATATCTCTCTATCTATCTATCTATCTATCTATCTATCTATCTATCTATCTATCTATTTTGAGGCAGGGTTTCTCTCTGTAGCCTTGGCTGACCTGGAACTCACTCGGTAGTCCACACTGGCCTCAAACTCACAGAGATCTGCCTGCCTCTGCCTCTGCCTCCTGAATGCTGGGATTAAATGATATAATATCAACAGTACTCTTAGCCATCTCTCCAGCCCCTCCACCTTATTTTTTGAGACAGGTTTTCACTGCGCCTGAATCTCAAGGTTTCATCTGGACTATCTGGTCCTGGGGGCCTCCTGCTTCTGCCTCCAATGCAGTGGCCAAGCACACCAGCTTCTACATTTCGTTTCCTCAAAGCAAACGAAGTTCCTCATGCTTACACAGCAAATACTTTATCCACTGAGCCGTCTCCCTAGTACAGGGTTTTTCTGTAGCTTTGGAGCCTGTCCTGGAACTTGCTCTGTAGACCAGGCTGGCCTTGAACTCACAGAGATCTGCCTGCCTCTGCCTCCCAAGTGCTGGGATTAAAGGCATGTGCCACCACTGCTGGGCTCCCATTTTACTTTTTATATTGTTTTGTTCTTCATCTTCATTTTCATTTATTTTACTGTTGGTTTCTCATGCTCCCTGAGTCTGATATGTACTTGCTTACTTGAGTTTGGATGATTATTCTTCTATCTCATCCAGAGTATAGTTAATAAAAAGAGATGGAAGAAATAGAAATGCTAGAAAGTGTTGTCACCTTTCAGAGCTAAGTTCTAACATTTATCACCTGTACCTTGAGTTCTAACCTATTCTATTTGACAAGATATGGCTTTTAACTGTACGACACTTTTTTCCTCTTTTTACAGGACCCATTGGGGCCCAGCCCCTACTCATAGTGCCCAGAAGACCTGGATATGGCACTATGGGCAAACCCATTAAACTGCTGGCTAATTGTTTTCAAGTTGAAATCCCAAAGATTGATGTCTACCTCTATGAGGTAGATATTAAACCAGACAAGTGTCCTAGGAGAGTGAACAGGTAAGAATTGTGAAGTCTAGCTGCCATTTGCTGTTTGTATTTGCATTAGTAAATTATATGTCTCTCATATATTTAAATAGCAATGACAATATGTAACACTTTGATCAGGAATACATGGTAATTTGGTTTTGAAATTTGTACTTCAGCAGTGGATGATAAGGGAAATCTTCAGAGTTGCTTCTGATTATCCCATTATATATGAGCTGACTTGGTATTCATGTGGTAATAGAAAAAGTCCAAGTCATGGTCACATGTTTGAAATCTGGCCGAGTATTCTGAGCCTGTCTTTGGTATTGCTGTTAGGTAGTTTATGTTTGCGTTCTTCCTCTTCCCCACTTAATCGTAACCATTTTCATAAAGCGCGATTTAAAATGATGGTGGTAGTAGTATATCCCCCACATTTTTAAATTAAAAAATAATAAGTAAATGAAAAGTAAAAGAAATTTGTAATTTAATAGTGATAACAAGACGAGTAAGAAATATGGATGTTGGATCAATTTTTCTTGGACTTACCATTCTCGTTACCAATGTTTCTGTTATAACTGAAGGTAAATGAACCGTGAGTCATTTTATGATAAGACAATAACTATGTGAATGTTGTGATTAAGGTGTAATACAGAGCTCTTCTGAGGGCAGGAAACATTTTGGAAAGTAATGTTGTAAATAAACTCTTAAGGTTATTTATTGAACAGTTCAGTTAACCCAGAAAGGTAAAATGACTTAAAAACATACTTTAACAGAAAAGATGAAATTAGAACTGCAGAAGGCTCACTTGAAAGAAAAAGAATTTAGTTGGTCTAAAATAATTAGCCGGGCATTGGTGGCGCATGCCTTTAATCCCAGCACTCAGGAGGCAGAGGCAGGCAGATTTCTGTGAGTTCGAGGCCACCCTCGTCTACAAAGCTACACAGAGAAACCCTGTCTCAAAAAATATATATAATTATTATTATTAGAACCTATCTGTCCATCTATCCAAACTCTGTGTATGTGTGTGTTTATGCCATAGCTGGGCATGGTGGCACACACCTTTAATGCCAGCATTTAGGAGGAAGAGGCAGTCAGATAGGCCAGCTGGTCTACATAGTGAGTTCTATAACAGTCAGAGCTATGTAGAGAGATCTGTCTCAAACAAAACAAAATCCATTATGAAACTAAATGCAATAGTAGTAAGAAATGAATACAATAGTAAGAAAAGAGCAGATGTTGTAGGGAATGTTGGGTTAATCTTCCTTGTCATCCTGACTAGATTTGGAATCACCCAGGAGACACTTTATGCACAATATGAGAATATTTATACAGTTTTAACTAAGGGTGAAAGACCCACCCTGAATGCGGGTGGTACCTCCGACCCTGGTTCCAAACTGAATGGAAAAGAAAATCTGAGGAAGCCAGCTGAGTAGTAACATTATTTTCTTGGTTTTCTTGACTGTGGACATAGTGTGATCAACTGCTTCTTGTTCCTGCCACCAAGACTTGTGTGTTCTGATGGACTGCAACTCTCAATCTGCGAACTGAGATAAACCCTTCTTAAATTACTTTTGTCAGATATCTGTCACAACCGCAAGGAAAGTGATTTAGAAAAGTAGTACTAAGAGTAGGTGTGTTGCTGTGTTAAATGTAATTGTGGGGAAGGGAGGGGTGGCGGAGTGGGTGAAGGTGCCGCCACCAGGCTGGATTGCTGATGACTCAGGCTGGAGCCCTAGAACTGGCATGGCAGAAGGGAGAGAGCAGACTCATGCTATGCTTTCCTCTGACCTCCATTGTGCACCGTGGCATGCTTCACCACAAATACAAAAGTAATAAGATAAAAATGTAATTAAAAAATTTAAAGAACAAATAAACCCAAGCATGTGGTTCCTGGGCCTTTGGAATTGGTTTATAGGAAGAATGATGCCCACCAAGCCTCAGATGCTGGACATGGAATGCAGGGCTTGTTGTTTGGCCTACTGGGTTTTGGTCTTGCTGTAGTCTAGTATTTCCTTGTTGTTGTCCCAATCTTCTCTTTTGGACTGGGAATGTATAGTGCATACTGTATATTGGAAGGTTTTGGCCAGAAAGCTCTAGAATGCCGTCAGCAGAACTTATGAGCCATGCTGAAGGGACTTTGGAGGACTGAAATGCAGATAGCAGAGATCTAGTTATAAGGCTTCCAAAAACCACCCAGTTAAAAAAAAAAAATGGGCTATGTAGCTCATTTGTGTCATATTCTGGCAAAAAAAGAAAAAAAAAAAAAAGGTCACATTCTGCCTGTGTTCTAAAAATTTGAGTGATATAATAAATTAAAAAATAATGGACTATAGTGTTTGATGGAAGGAATTTCAGGGCAGGTAACATCCAGGCTGTGACATAATTACCACTCACTGTTCTTAGTCAGTTCTACAGTGAGAGAGCAGAAAGATATTTAAATGTGTAGCTTGGTGAAGAAAGAAGTTTAAATATACATGCAAGGAGGATTATTAAGATCAGCTGGCATTGTTAAAGAAAGTAATGCCACTAAAGAGAAATCTCAGGGCTTGATGGTGGTGGCACACACCTTTAATCCTAACTCTTGGGTGGCAGAGGTAGGCAGGTCTCAGAGTTTGAGACCAGCCTGGTCTACAAAGTGAGTTCCAGGACAGCCAGGGCTACTCAGAGAACCCTGTCTCAGAGAGAGAGAGAGAGAGAGAGAGGAGAGAGAGAGAGAGGGGCAAGAGGATCACCTCAAGTCTAAAGGCCACTCTGGTCTACAGAGCAAGTTCTAAGGCAGCCAGCGCCATATAATGAAGCCTTATCTCTAAATAAATAAATCTCTCATCATGTACTGGAACAAGAGGAAGTTGCCAGGAGTTCAGACACTCGTCCATCAAAGAGTCCAGGTTATAAAAATACAAGTTTATTTGAAAGGAGAGAGCCTTAACTGAGGATACACTGAGAATGCTGATGAAGGGATTCCCTGCCCACCCCCACCCCTGCACCCCAACACCTAGGGCAGGTGGGGAAGAGTGGCCCTGAGGTCACAAGAGCAGGAGAGCTCTTCCCGGTTCCCCCCCAGGCCTCCCCCTCCACACACACACCAGGCCCTGCACCTCACCTGAGCAACACAATAGAGCCAGCCCTGTTGGCTTGTCTGTCATGTAACGGTGTGGGTGGGGAAGAGATGCCCCCCTCCCAGTGTAAATCTAATTAATCTTATTAATAAAAATCAGGAGTCAGATATGGGGTAAAAACCTGAAGATCAGAGAACAGGAAGCAGCCATCATTTGCTTCCTATTCTCTCATTCCTGTACTTTCTCTGCCCCACCTTATCACTTCCTGTCTCCTCCCTATAGAGACCTCCAGACCTCTAAGGTTAACTAGTGGCTAGCTCTGCTGTCTGATCCAAGCAAGCTTTGTCAGAACACAAACAAATCCCCTTATCCCTTGCCCCTTACTGACTGCAACAGACAAGAGCTGACCCTCCCCTTACCAGCTGCAGCACTCAGGAAAGCGGGCCCTGCTTCTCACCTAGGCATCATAGCAGAGCTGGCTCTGTTGTCAGAGGTGTGGGTGACCCAGCCTGATGCTGGAAGCAGGAGTGCTGTTCCCATTACTCATCCGACATGCAGAATGGGTGGAGGAGAGATGTCCTCCCTAACCTACCCCCTTCCTCAACCCATGGATGTCTGGGACAAGTGAAGGAGCTGGCCCTGGGTTGTGGGACTAGGAGGGCTGTATCTGCTCCTCTCCAGCTGCAGTGCCTGGGAGAATGGACCCTGCACCTTGCCTGGACAATGCAGTGGAGCTGGCCCTGATGATGTATGTGTGGGAGAGCCGACCCTGAGGGTATGATGGCGGGAGAACTGACTCTGTCCCTCAATCATTGCTACAGGGGGTGAATTAGCCAGGGCAGTGCTGGAGAGCTCACCCTGGTGGTGAGGACCGGGGAAAACTGGAGGGTGGACCAACCCTGCAGCTAGCTTCCCAGGGCTAGAGCCAGGGTTGTGACTTGGACCACCTCAGTCTCTACCCCATCCAGTATCTGCTGGAACACATGAAGATGCCTGACCTGCACACCCAAAGCTTCAGGATCTCCACAACTCAGGGCAACAACAATATCCAAGAGGAGTACCAGTTAGGGCTCAGCATCAATAGTGTAGTAGAAACCAGAGTATTTGAACCAGACCAATAACTCTTTTGCAAAAAACTCTTGCAAGTAAAGATACATGGACAAAGGGGTTTACTGGGTGACTCACTGCATCCTACTGCAGGTTCCATGCCACGGTTTTAATTTTTTTCCTTTTAAATTTTGTTTTCTTTGGGGTGGGAGGTTACAGGACCAGAGGGTGGATGCTAAAGGACAGGGAAATGAATGGGATTAAGATGTGTGAAAGTCACCCGGAATAAATAGATAGGAGAGAGAGAGAGAGAGAGAGAGAGAGAGAGAGAGAGAGAGAGAGAGAACTACTGCCTGTGGAAGTGTTTTCTTGGGTTCAGCTGCCCAGGTGCACAGAAGCCACTCCATCTGTGATAGAATATCAGACTACATCTTGATCTGGTAGCACAATTTGGTGGAGAAATTCAAGGGGTGCATGGTTCTGAAGGTTTGTACTAAGTTTGCAGAGAGCCGGAGTCCCTCCAATGAGGTCATTGAGTGAAGCTGTGAAAGTAAAGTCTAAATTTTAATGGAGACCCCTAATGTTAGAGATGCCACGGTCCTGAGAAGTAAGTACATCTAGAAACACTGCGGGCATAGCATAGAGTCAGCCCAAGGAGGCTACATGAGCTACAGACTGTGGAACAGGACAGGCAGGGCTGTTTATGACCATTGAGCTCAGTTTAAGTTACTGTGAGGGCTGGGGATAGAATATTATAGATATAAATAATAGTTTTCACCTGGCGGTGGTGGTGCACACCTTTAATCCCAGCAGGTAGAGGCATGCAGACCTCTGTGAGATAGACGCCAGCTGGGTCTACAGAGCAGGTTTTAGGACAGCTAAGGTTACACAGAGAAACCCTGTTTGAAAAACCAAAATAAGCTCTGC